AAACCCCCCCCCCCCCCCCCTCCCTCTTTATTCTTCTGCAGTTCCACGAAGCTGGCCGTGCTCGACGGGACTTAAATCGCGGTACCTTGGATTGATCCTTGGCCGCTCATCTGAAATAAAAAATTAAAATTGCATCTTGAAGTTTATTAAATTTACTCGTATTTGACTCATACTTTTTTAAAATTTCGAATTTAAAACAAAATGGACATTCAAACTCAAGGTATCATATTTCATGTATAAATTACATTTTTTGAGCGTGTAACAAAATATAAAAAATTAAGATATCAAAAAAAATGTGGGTCAAATACTAAAGAATTTTATAAGCTTTCAAACAAAAAAAAGGGAGGGAATCGGTTTTCGAGATATTTATGGCATCGATTTTAAAAACGTGATTTTTCGAGATAAACGCGTTTAAGTTTTGGAACACTCACGCTGTACACAACATTTTATCTTTTTATGAATATATATTTATAAAATAAAGATTCTTAATATTCTTTTTTTTTTGTTCATTACATAACTTAGATAGAATGAAGCAACGCGCTCAATCTTAGGTGCTTATCTCTATCTTAGTTATACAATGAATGATATTTAAACCAGTGAAAAACTGTAATGGTGTTTATCTCTATCTTAGTTATACAATGAATGATATTTAAATCCAGTGAGAAACTAAAGAATAAAATCTATCATATTACAGAATTATACAACAATTGGAAAACTATTCTTTCTGCTGAGCCACTATTAATTTTCTTAACTGACGTCTTTTATGTTATCCACACAAACCACTGTAAAATTTTTTATTTTTTATACGCAATCAATTACATCTGCCATCTTGACAAAGATTATTTTAAAACGGATTTCGAGCAATATCTATGGATTCTGCCGAAACAGAGAATCTAAAACATCTTTTTAAATCTCTGAATTATGACAAATATTTTTCCTTCGTTCCATTTCTGATATCAAAATCATTTTTATTATAAGGATGGTAATCAGTTATTAGGTCACCGATACCGACATACCTTGTTTTTAGACAACTTCGTTTTTAAACAATATATATTTCTTGAAAAAAAAAGATAAAAATAAAACTTTAAAATTATAAGTACAAACTAAAAAATGTCTTCCATCAGGCAGTATAAGTAGTTTTTATAATACTGTTCGCAATTTCGCAGTAATTAATTTTTTCATAAGGTAAGCAAAAATGAGCGTCTGACAAAATGGACTCCAAAATTGACACAGTAAGCAGTGATACTACAAATTCCTATTCTTTTTTTTTTCTTTTACAGGAATTATCTGAATAAAGTACCTACAAGTGAATGTATATGAGATATTCCAGAATCTTTTCACTTCATTATACGAGGTCTGTCCGGAAAGTATCGGGCCTACCTTTATATCTCCGCTCTGGCGTTATTCTGGATCATCGGGCGGGTGGCATCCTTCGA